TGTGTGGGGTCGTTCGTTGGTTTGTTTTGGGGTGTGTGTTTGGGTTGGGGGGGGGGGGGGGGGGGGGGGGGGGGGGGAATAAAAGTATTTTGAGGCAGCCAATAAAACTGGGTGCGCATCCGAGCAAGGAGAGGTTTGGAAAAGTGAGGCAAAATTTAAGGTCAAGCGGGTGTTGATGAGTAAATGTTGCTCCTATATAATGTGAGAGGCAGTGTTTAGGGGAAATCAGACTGATGTGTGTTGCTTTGTCAGATCAAGTGAATGATCTGAGCTCCCGGATCGAGTTACAGCCTCCCCCTCCCCAAAGCCTGCAGTCCTGACAGAGTTCAGCTGCAGCATGGAAGCCATGCAGGCTGAAATGATTCCAGAAAGTCAGCTAAAATGTAGCCATCAGCTGCAGTTTTGTTATGATTAGGATGAAGTTGGAGGGAGATTCACTCCCCAACACCACATTTATTCTGCTTGTCCCTTTTTTAATGAAAGGAAATGATGAAGCAAAAGTCTTGAGATTGATGCAAATGAATAATTTAGTCCATAATCTCGTGTAATCTTTGAGGGATTTTGCTGCCAGCTTCACACACTGGCAATTAAATCCTGATTCCTGTGTGCATATTCATTTCCTGCACCCCCTTACCCATCACACTGCGTCCATAATTGATATTGCAGTTGCCATGGTAACCAGGGTGACAAGCGTTGATGTCAGAGTCTCCTCCAAGGACAGCCATGCAAACGCTGATACACATATCGCTGCCAAGAGCAAAACGGGCACCAACCTTGCTCTCTTGTGCTTGTTTTTTTATTTTAATGTAAATTTCACTGCATCAGAGAGTATAGCTCTGCAGCGCCTGTGCAGGCCTAAACCGTTCTCCTTTAGGTGAAACACATGACGTGGGATCTATTCGGATCCGTGCATGAGCCCCCTCAGAGTCTGCAAAAATGTAAAAACCCATCCTTGTTTCTGCTCGTTCACATCTGCACGTAGCTTCAGTTTGTTCAGGTTGGCATTAAGCATCTAGGCATCCCCCCCTCCTCCCTCCCTGCCTCCCTCATCCAGACACTCAGCGCTCCCCCACCATCTCTCCTCTAATTGAGCTTTGTGTCTACCTCCATCTCCAGACTCATTTGCATACTGCCGCTGCGTGCTGGACAGCTCCCCAGCTGTACAGTACAGAACTAAATAAGGAACACAGACCCACTTTGTGTGATGTGAATACTAAGCAGCCAGGATAGTCATTTCCCTGTTTCCTTGAAAATACATTTAGAGACGAGGGGGTAAATAGGTAGGACTGCTTTTTGCCAAATCAGTGCATTCAGGGCCAAACAGACACAAAACACGCTTACACCGAGGCAGAGACGTAAATGTTGCTTAGTGTGAGGTAGTGATGTACAAATAAAAATACACATTTTTTTGTACTTGTTGCACAAAAAATATTCAGATTCTTTAGAAGTTTCTGAGCCTTGCTTTTTATTTGTCTTTTTTTTTTCACCTCAAAATGCCTCAAAATGTGAGTCCTCCTGTTTTCTCTTTGTATTTTATTTTAAAAAAAGCCTCTCTGAGTTGAGGAATTTCAGGGGGGGGGGGGGGGGGGGGCGGGCACTACGTAACGGTTCCGCAATAGGAAGGTCGGCGGGGGGGGGAGGGGTGTAGC